ATTTTAAATCCCAAATTTTTTTATATTAAATACCAAATAAATAATTCTTTACATTTAAACATTAATAACAGTCAATCTATGAATTTAGCCTTACGGAATTACGCTTCTGAAATTTAAGCTATGTTCACGGTGAAGAAGTGATGTTGTTGCAGCGCTGTGGTCTTGCAGCATCACGAAGCGGAACTGTCGGTTTCAGGGTGTATTTTCCGTGGGACCGCAGAGCCGATCATGGCGACTCTCGGCGGCAGTCGTGGGGATCGTCTCGGCAATTCTAATCACAACAAGTCTGCTATTGTTTCCCCGGAAAAAGTTCGTGAAATTCTCAATGAGGGGGTGTCGTCAACAGGCGTGGGTTCCAACAGGTGCGATTTTTTTATAATCAGAGAGCGCTCATGGTTCAATTTAAAAAGACGGAGAACAAGTTGGCGCTAGCTAGTTTGCCTAGCCACTTAGCTAGCTGTACTTTTAGCTTCATTCAGTCAGCATAACGAGAAGACGGACGAGATTCCGCAGGTTTGGATGCATCTAAGCTAGGAACTGGCACGCCTTTGTGCTTTCATTGTTGTATTCATCGGGCAAGTTTGTTATGGTAGCATCTGAATTGTCGCCACTGTGTACAGTTAGAGATAAGAGGGGGTGGGGACCTTAAGTTTGGTAGTAACTCCTTACTTTGCAAGTTTGCGGTTTTGCTTCCATCATTAGGTTAAACGAATCGATTCTATTCAGTAGTGTGCGATTATAAAATGAAAATAGGAAACATATAACGTGAAGTACGCATAGCTTTAACCAGTTATATTTGTTTTATCAATCATGTAAATAAAACTGCATACTGAAGATGTGTTTTCCCCTTTTTGATGATTTCAGTGTACAAGGGGATTTGAATGTGCTGGAAGTGAAAAGCAACTCTCAAGCACCTTGCGAAGCAACGAACAAAGAAGCCTTTTTCTCAAGAGTGGAATCCTATTCAATATCCTTTTCCCCTCATTTTGAATCAGTATGAGCGATCTTAGTTCTTGTTTTTATGTTATGTTGTTATTATTACATGTCCTTGCTGAATGTAACTTGAAGTTTCCCTTAGCGCCGCACTGTTTGAAATGGGCAGGCAAACCACGCATACTTTCCCCTTTGATGTGTGCCAGATATGGCTGGATCAGTGTTGGCTGTGATATGCTCAAGTGCTGCAGCTGCCAGGCTTTCCTATGTGCATCCTTGCAGCCAACTTTAGACTTTGAAAAATGTGAGTGAAACTTAAAGCAACTGCACAATAACAACACTAGAGGACAAACAGGTTGTTTTGGTTTTTTTTGGCAAGGTTAGGTTGATATTGTCGGGCTGCCAAAAAAATTTTTTTTAAATTGAAGCACATCTCCTCTTTTAAACAGATGAAAGCCGCATTGCAGAGATATCAAGGCAGCTTCAGACACAGCATGAAAAGTTTTGTCCTTGGCCTGACTTTCCATGTCCAGGTGGGAGCAAGCATTTTGCATAAAACGTATATATCAGCAAAAGTAATTTGCCTTGAATAAACTTTGATTTTCTTTTTTGTCCATGTAATGATCATGGTAAATGTTGCTTTTATTTCAGAACGTTTCTGGCTTGTTCCAGCCTGTGAACCATCGACACTTCTTGCTGCCTTTTTGGAGCGCTTCCAGAGCGCCTGTCTCCTTGCACAGCAGCTGCCAGCAATGAAACCGGAGCAGCTGAAGTCTATGGTGAAGCTGCAGAAGGGCTTCAGCCTTTTTAGGATACTGACTTCAGTGCTGTTTGAAGCATTATACATATTATTTACATTAGAGAATACACTTAAAAGAATGCAGTATCGAGATTATAGAAACAGTTGTCTGAGTCACTCGTTCACCTATACTTATTGGCCACTCTTTCCTTGCAGTCTTTGACAGAGGACGTTATCAGCAGTATGCTGCAGGTGATTGAGGAAGAACAAAAAAGAATGGGAGAGACTCCTTGCTCTGAGCCTTTAGCTATCCAGATGGCAGCATGTATTGTTTCTCTCTGCGGTTGGGCAGCAAGGTGAGATGTAACTCGAAACTCCTTTCATAGAAATCAGTGTTGTCATATGCCGACATTAAAAGTTGCGTGAAAATTTAGAAACATGGGACAAAAAAAGTGTTTTTCTCCATCTTAGTCCTGCTCTGCACGCCATGAGCCTGCCGATCCTCACCTGCTCCTACTGTATGCGCAAGGTGGGCTTGTGGAATTTCCATCAGATGGAGGGAATGGGAGGTGAAGCAGACAATTCAACAAATACACTGGGCACCCCTGTTCGGGCAACCAGTCCTGCTTCAGCAACCCCAAATGATGGTCAGGGAGAGCATTCGACTTCCACCTCACCGAGCCCTGCTACAACTCCTTGTCGCATGAAGCTGCGGAGCCAGGACTCCACCCGCTCTGACCAGGTAAGGAGGAGGACCAGGCGGATTTCCCGAGCTGTGCCATTAGCTGGAAAAACACTGAACCACGCTGTGCACAAGCTATGATGCACGCTTATTAATCCGTTCAATTAGAACAAGTGAATGTAAACTTCAGAATATACTAAGCTGCTTCTATGCTGTCTTGGTGTATGTTACAGGGAGAGGGTACCTCCTCCCCAGTGGCCTTGCGTGCCCGGAGCAGAGACTCACCTAGCCCCAGCGAAGAACTGCCAAGCCCTTTGACGAGGGGCAAGAGGCCCGCAACTCGCAGTAGAGGACAGGGAGATGGCTCAGGGACTGACGGCACTACTAGCCTGCCTCCAAAGCGCCTGTGCCTCTCATCAGCTGGTGGTCTAGTAAGAACTAACATTACTGAGGTTTTTTGTTTGTTTTTGTTGTGTGTTTTTTTTTTTTTTTTAAATGATGGCATCAGACTTTATCTGAGGGAATCCGTACAGTCCTGCCTGGTTATTCAGCCAGTGTTTCAAGAGTAATTTGAGTATTTTGTTTGGTTTACATTTCAGTTAGAAATTTTGTTAAATTAAAAACACGAAAGACAAACATTCCCTTTTTTAAGGCAGAGGTGTATAATACAAATGTTGACTTACCATCTCTTATTTCAGGATGGGCCCTTGCCCAAGAATGTATTTGACCCCTTAGCTCAGCACAGGGAATGGTGTCCCTGGATCTCCGTTGGAAAGGAGAATGTGGATCCTGGGGCTATCCCTTTTTCAGAAAAAGGTTCAGGACTTTATCAGCAGGGCTGGAAAGCTGCTCTGGACCTCCTCATGCCCATGAAGAAGAACTCCAGTATAGACGAAGGCAGTCCAGCACAGGCAAGACAAAAAGTTCAAATATTTATATTTCATAAAAAAAGAGTCATCAGACATGAATATGATAGATTTACAGATTTTTGCTTTGTTTGTTTGTTTTTTCTTCCAGGGCCCCCGTGACAAATCTAAAAGGGTGTTTGCTATATTCCGACAGTGGCAGGTTTCCTCTTCGCCATCTCAGTAGACTCTTTGCAAACAAAAACAGCATTGCAAAACTGAAGTGATGAACTGACCTCCACTCTTGTTTGTGGTACAGAATCCATATTATGAATGACAGGAGTGTCAAATGTTATTAAATGTAAGCCATCAATTGAGGTCTTGTTTCTGTTCAGTGTTTGTCAAGGACAAATAAGGTTCATTGTGTCATTAGACAAATGAATGTGTTCCCAGTAAACAGTAAAAAATGTGAATGAATGAATGAATGCTGTGGCTTTTTAAAAAACATTTCAGTTCGGCTACACAAGATTTGGGATGTGTACCGCCATCCACATGACCACAAAGTCTGCTTTGGTAGTCCTTGATGACAACATGATGGTCTGGATTTTTGTGGAATATAGAAGATCATGAGAAAGGGCCACATGGCTCTACACTGGAAAGATGATGTTTACCTTTATCGTATTTTGAGTTCTTTGCAAGAGCAGTAAACATTAACCTCAGATTAGCAAAAAAAAAAAAAAATAGACTGTGAGGAAGTACTTATGTGTGTATTGTTTTGCTTAAACACCAGATGGATACAATAGCTGTCCTCGAAGAGAGCAGAATCTTTTTGGAGTAGTGATGTTTTGTTTTTTCTCATCCGTGCTACCCGGTTTGAAATTCTTGATTTTCTGTGATATTTCGTTACCGATGCAGTTCTCACTCTCTTGCATGTACCTTTGTCTTTGTAGACGCTCCTAAAAGGGTTTAATAAATTGCTCTTCTGAATGTTTGTTTTACTTTGCATGTCGTTCTTCTGAGATTTGTAAGATAAGGCCAGTCAAAAAATTAATGAAATTATATTGTAAATCCAAGAAAAATGCACAAAGTACAAATGTGTCAGATGGCTCTGCTTCACAAAGATTTTTTTTGGAATGTGTTTTTTAAAGTTTATTTTAATTTTATTTGCTGAAGTGTGTTTATGTGTATTTATGTATAGATAGATGGATAGGTATTGTGGTCTTGTAGAAGTGGTATTTTTAGCCATGACCATTTTATTTATTCTTTCCCTAGATTAAGTCTTGTTTGTATTCTATAAATAAGATATGAGGTATATTTCAGCTTCGCATAACTCTGGGGGAACTTAGTCAGTTAACAGAAATGAATCACAAGACTGATGCCCCCCCTCCCCCCAAAAAACATTCACTGTTCTTGAAATGGACTGTTGGTCTTGCCAGACATTTTGGGGTGCAAGTCCTGACAGCCAACATGTGGGGGTGACAATCTAGTGGAGCCGAGCCACTGCTCGCAATTATGAGCATCTTGAAATATTTTTTTCCAATATATCAGTTTTTAACTGTATAAACAGGCATGTACGTGTTTCCAAATGAAACTTAAATATTAAAAACAATGATATTTTGGATAAAACTACAAACATGGCCATTTATGGTGACGTTTGGGTCGCACATAATATGACGTCATTCGCGGAGGGATCCCTGTGTCGGAACCATGGTCATATCGTTGAGAGGCAGTGAACGGCAGAGGTCTAGAGACAGCTCAGCTACTCATTAGGGCAGAGATACGTTGAAGTGAGAAGACGTCTCGCTGCGAGCATTTCTGGAGGCAAATGTTAACTTTCGGATAGTACCGTTTGCTAGACTATCTAGCGTTCCGGGGGGCTAGCTTTCAGCTTTCTCACGGGTGTTCTGCGGTGGAAGAAGCAAAAATGTCGTCTCCAAGTCCGGGTAAAAGGCGAATGGATACCGATGTGGTGAAACTGTATCCTTTCTGAACATAAACAACAGTCTCTCAATCGCTATCTGGTCAGCTATGTGCTGAACAGTTTGTCAACGTTATATGAGTGAACTCTATTTATTGGTGTTGCTTGTTTTTCTTGAAACCCCCCTCAAGCAGAAAATGCTTTCACAGTGAATGACTGGTGTTTTGTGTAAACAACATTTTGCTAGCAAAGCCAAGTGTTAGCTATTTCTGTCCTGCGAACCTTCAGTCGCTTATCGGGACAGCTGTATTAGCTAATCAGATCGGTCACAGGTCCTTCCGGCATTTTTTTTTTCATCGCAATATTATTTCTTTGTAACTAACATTAGCTGTCTAGAGCTTGCTCTCCAGCTCTGAAAATTACTGCAATATCCGCACAGACGCCGACGTTTTTCTCCTTATACAGATGTAGCAGAGGTATACTACCTAAAACACCTTGTGGCAATTTGGTTTCTTTGTTCACTCCTCTGTTTTATGACGGGAATCAAACTCAAACTGCCCCTTTCACACGCTTACACAGAACCTTGTTTACATAACGTAAGCCCAACTGAAAACGCTGCTGCTTTTGTTCTAGTCGCAAGACGTTGGCGTTATTGCTGCGTGTATAGCGATCTGGGTCTACCTAGCTTTGCTTTGTAACCCCACTAAGGGTTTGGTATGTGTGTTATTGGATCTACCACTTGACAAGAAGACCTGCAACGAGCGTTGTTGAACTGGCGTGCTAGTCAGTTGGTTAATTTCAGCATCAAAATGGCCACCTGATCAGTGTCTCTCACTGTACTTCAGTGTCAACAGGCAAATGCATGCAGTACTAACTTGTCTCATTTTCGATGGGTGTTAACGTGTAGTTTTGGACATAATGGATCTGGAACTGAGTGTGGCAGCTGTTACGTGGTACAGCAGGTGTCAAGTCCCCTACAGTCATTTTCACTGTGGAATGTTTGAACTTTTTGGCAGCATCTAGTGTGTTCTGCTTTTCAAGTCGTCGTCACCATGTTTACTCTTGCACCGCTGCTTTATTTGTTTAGCTTCACTCAGGGATGACAGAAGCAGTTATAAAAGTGAATCATAACGTCAGATTTCCAGTCCATGCAATGTTCCAGAAGGAACAGTATGAACAAGTAGTTTTGTTTTTGTCCCAGCACAGTGGAAGCCAGCTTAATGATTGGGTAGCCTGTTACTAGCCGGAAACCACACGAGGGAGGGACTTAGAACAGCTGATGGGATCGCAGTAAAAGCTTTGCAAATATGGGGTTAGAAGTGGGCTGGTCAGAATTAAACCAAAAACAAGTAGAAGTTACCCCAACAGCTTCAAACTAATAGTTTTAAAATTAAAATATTGACAGTGTGTTGTTTGTTTTTGTTTTCAAGCTTGGTCTTAATTGAGTTATTTCTGCTTGTAGACCAATAATATATAACTCTTTGAATACTATTTATAGCATTATATTTTTCTTTTTTTTCTTTTTTTTTACTGCAGTAAGAGATTGGTGATGAGTATGTAAAGTTTATTCTTCCCCCGCTCAACACCATTTATGTGTAAGGTGTAGCAATTGTGACAGGGTGCTGAAACAGACAGAACAAGAGTTGTAAGGGTTGTAGTGTGGACACCCACACACAAAGCATTGGAGTGTAGTAAAACCCCTCTCCTTCTTGAGCTACTTCACTGACAGGCAAGAGCAGGTTTGCTGAATACCGCCTGCTCAGTTTTGTACAGTGACCTGAGTGTTTAAACATACCATCCAAGACTAGTGGTCAGCAAGTGTTAAGAATGACAGCTATGTGTGTTTTAAATGTAGATCTTAAAGAGTTGGATTTGATCTTGAGCGGGCAGGTCTCCAGATTCTAGTAGGCCCTTCTTCTAAACTATCAATAAGAACCTGTTTCTGTGCTTGCTATCAATGCATCTCCCCCTAGTGTAACCAAAACCTGAAACTCACACTGGCTTTTAGACAGACGCAGGTTCTGAGAGGCCTTGTGCATTAATTTGCTTTGGCCACCGGAGAGCTGTGAATCTAGAACGGAGGCCGTGCGGGAATTCGTGAAAATGAATGTCAGAATGACCTTAACATGTAGCACCACTCAGTTAAGCTTTGTCCCAAGCCAGCCAATACTCTGCAGCCTGCTTTTATATGCTAATACTCACTACTCTTTGTACAATTCTGTGAAATATTGATAGAGAAGACATTAAGCGTTAGTGTACAGTGACTTTCCACTGTAATACGTCTTCCTGCTAGTTCGTTCCCTCCTATACAATATGAGACGATATTTACTGACCGCTTCTTGACAGACTGGATTTCTTAAACATTAAATTAACATTAATTTCCTATCATCTGCATAACCTCTTGACATTTGGTATTCTGTCTTGGTCTCGGTTGGGCTGATTTTGATGTCGAACACAATGTTCTTGAAGGAGCTTAGCACAGTGTGTCACTTCTAAGAGCTTTACATTCAGCCTGTTGTGTGGGATTGACTGTACATATTGTGTAGGAAGTTGTGCTGTTATTTGCATATAATCTTTTATTGGTCTTGTTGTTTTACAAAGACTTTCAGGTGGAAAGCTCCTGGACTTTGAGAACAGGTGAATTACATAGCACTAAGCCTATTGTGCATGCTAAAACAGGTCATTTTAACAAGGCTCTTATTATTGACTTCTCTCGCTTTTGCTTGGCATATAATTGACCAACAATAAGACTTGGACATCTTTATGTGTGACAATTCTAATTTATCTAATGTAATTGTTACAAAATTGGTTTTTCAGTTAACACACTGCGAAATTGTTTATTTAATTAAAAATGGGAAAACCAACAGAGAAGAGTTTTAAAATGTCTCTTCTCTAGGTGCTAAAAATGTAATTAACATGAGATGTAAAGACTTGAGGTGTATATTCTGCTGTAAATAAAATTTCGCTCTATCAGAGGGGATGTTTGGACATCTGATGTCCTCAAAATGACATCCCAGCTGTACTTTTCAACCTTTGAGTTCCTGCTGAAAGGGCTCTCTGGAGCATGGCCACCAGCAATTTTTATTCAAGTCTGCTAAGAGTTGCGCAGAGGGGTGTCACAGGCTTTAATCTGCTCCAGTATTCATCATAATACCTCATGTCAACATTAGCATATACCTCCTTTTATATTGATAAAGGTGTTGCGCATCACACCTCTCAACTTGCAGTTTTCAAGGAGAGTTCACATTTTTAGACTTTTTTAAAATTATTTTTTAAAAGTAACTTTTTACGCAGCAGTCAACCTTTCGCAATCTGATTTATTCACTTGTCCAGATTCATGGGACATTTTTGATTGTCCTCTCCAAAGCATCCCTCCTCCCTTGCTAAGTGTAATACCAATCCTGAGCTTTATCTCCTCTCTGCTTAGTTTTTTTGGCCCATTGTGCCCATGTAGAATGACATCCGGACAGCATCAGCGGTAGGTTCTTTTGTGTTTCCCATTTAGAGAAGCCCCTGTGACCCACCCCTCCCTCTCTACCTCCTGCTGCTGCGTCAGGCCATGTCGCACAGTCACAGGCAGCTAAACTGCACTCAGTGCTATTATTGCTGGACTGAACTAACTAGATGCAGTTTATTGTAGGGAAGGAGCCAGCAGTTGTATGCTCTTTCCTGACTGATTAAATGGATGGCACAATGAACCCATGAGCAAAATGTGGAATGCCCTGGTCTGATGAGGAAGTTGCATAAGCTACCAGCATGCTTTGTTACTGGGCTGGAATAACTACACAGTAGTTGACACAAAGAAGTTCATAGAAAACTTGCTAACTTCAATTTTATTTTCATTGTGGTTGCAAGATAATGTGACGTGCTGTAGGTATAAAAAGTGTAAAGCACAGTTGTCCTTTGCCTCAGTTACTCCCCATACTATTACTCCCACAGGCAAAATATCTGAAAGCATACAAAAAAATCGAATTGAATTTAAAATTCGGTTAAATATAAGTCTTGTCAAGATTTTGTGGGTGTTGAACCGCATGCATGATGCTGTCAGTTGACACAGTTTTTATTATCTTTATTTACATTTGGTGCATAACTTTGCTTGTGTCACTGCAGGCGTGTTTAAAACATATCATCCAACCGAGCTCCTGCTTTTTATCGTTTTTAGGACTTTGTGAATGAATGCAAGGTAACAAAGTCAATTGTGTATGAGGCCCCTACTATTCAGGAGGTGCCACACTGATTGACAGTCCTGTTTTGGGGGTCCAGGAGCAAGGCATCGCTGACAGTAGGGTGTTTGAGGCCCTCACTGTTAATCCCATAGTGCATACAGCGAAGCTTCCTGCACGCATGGCTGCGTTCCCTTGGAAAAACAGATGGACTGAAGTTCCTCTCTTTGTTTCGCATGATTTTTTTTTTTTTTTTTTTCCCCTCCCCTAGCATTTGGGAGTTCAGCCTGGCTCTGTCACTCACATGCAGAGGTGCTTTAGTGTGGAAAATCAAAGGAGTGACAATGGGGTAACTAAGTTTGGTCATGTAGGCCAGAGCCGCTGGATCTGCCTGTTTAAATGTTGCAGTAAAACCACTGCAGCTTTTATTTGCTCGAAATTAACCTGCATATAAAGTAAAAGGCCCTTATCAAAAAAATGCAACCTATACTTACACACCCTATACTTGCCTCACTGTGCTAATCTGCTGCTGTTCATTTCTCATCTGTGTCAAGTTGATAAAATTAACCCCGCGTGTTTCTCTAATTAAAGCGAATTTCACCATAGCCATTTCCTGAAAATGTCTCTTGAGTTTTTTTGTGTTTTTCTCTGTACAATAAGCAGCACATCTTGTTTATTAGATTTTCTCATTAGACTGCTGCTTCAGATCCAGGCCATTGTTTTTCTTGCACTGGCTCAGTTTTGTGTTAATGATCAACTCATTTGTATGTGCATGCACGTAGCTCAAATGCACGTGCGCACACACAGACTCTGTCACCACTGCTGTAAATAGACTGTTGATTTAGTGAAGGGCTGAGAGGAGGAGCAGCTGAAGGATTCACATTTGATTGCAGTGG